GATCACCAAAGTTAAAACAAGTCGGGCGAAGTTAGTACTTGGGTGGGTGACTTCTTAGGAATACTTCGTGTCGTAGGCTCCTTTTGATTTATTAATAGAAAATTATTTCAATGTACTTCATCAATTTTCCCAAAAGGAATATTTTTTTAATTTTATCCAAAAATATTCATAGATCAAAAGCTCTTGTTTTCTCAAAGGCGATGTCTACGTCCATACCACTTGGAAAGCACTGGTTCTCGTCTGATCACCAAAGTTAAAACAAGTCGGGCGAAGTTAGTACTTGGGTGGTGACCTCTTAGGAATACTTCGTGTCGTAGGCTCCTTTTGATTTAAATAGAAAATTATTTCAATGTACTTCATCAATTTTCCCAAAAGGAATATTTTTTTAATTTTATCCAAAAATATTTAGATCAAAAGCTCTTGTTTTCAAAGGCGATGTCTACGTCCATACCACTTGGAAAGCACTGGTTCTCGTCTGATCACCAAAGTTAAAACAAGTCGGGCGAAGTTAGTACTTGGGTGGGTGACCTCTTAGGAATTCGTGTCGTAGGCTCCTTTTGATTTATTAATAGAAAATTATTTTAATGTATTTCATCAATTTTCCCAAAAGGAATATTTTTTTTAATTTTATCCAAAATATTCATAGATGAAAAGCTCTTGTTTTCTGAAAGGCGATGTCTACGTCCATACCACTTGGAAAGCACTGGTTCTCGTCTGATCACCAAAGTTAAAACAAGTCGGGCGAAGTTAGTACTTGGGTGGGTGACCTCTTAGGAATACTTCGTGTCGTAGGCTCCTTTTGATTTAAATAGAAAATTATTTCAATGTACTCATCAATTTTCCCAAAAGGAATATTTTTTTTAATTTATCCAAAAATATTCATAGATCAAAAGCTCTTGTTTTTCTGAAAGGCGATGTCTACGTCCATACCACTTGGAAAGCACTGGTTCTCGTCTGATCACCAAAGTTAAAACAAGTCGGGCGAAGTTAGTACTTGGGTGGGTGACCTCTTAGGAATACTTCGTGTCGTAGGCTCCTTTTGATTTATTAATAAAAAATTATTTCAATGTACTCATCAATTTTCCCAAAAGAATATTTTTTTAATTTTATCCAAAAATATTCATAGATCAAAAGCTCTTGTTTTCTCAAAGGCGATGTCTACGTCCATACCACTTGGAAAGCACTGGTCCTCGTCTGATCACCAAAGTTGAAACAAGTCGGGCGAAGTTAGTACCTGGGTGGGTGACCTGTTAGGAATACTTCGTGTCGTAGGCTCCTTTTGATTTATTAATAGAAAATTATTTCAATGTACTTCATCAATTTTCCCAAAAGGAATATTTTTTTAATTTTATCCAAAAATATTAGATCAAAAGCTCTTGTTTTCTATAAGGCGATGTCTACGTCCATACCACTTGGAAAGCACTGGTTTTCGTCTGATCACCAAAGTTAAAACAAGTCGGGCGAAGTTAGTACTTGGGTGGGTGACCTCTTAGGAATACTTCGTGTCGTAGGCTCCTTTTGATTTATTAATAGAAAATTATTTCAATGTACTCATCAATTTTCCCAAAAGGAATATTTTTTTTAATTTTATCCAAAAATATTCATAGATCAAAAGCTCTTGTTTTCTCAAAGGCGATGTCTACGTCCATACCACTTGGAAAGCACTGGTTCTCGTCTGATCACCAAAGTTAAAACAAGTCGGGCGAAGTTAGTACTTTGGTGGGTGACCTCTTAGGAATACTTCGTGTCGTAGGCTCCTTTTGATTTATTAATAGAAAATTATTTCAATGTACTTCATCAATTTTCCCAAAAGGAATATTTTTTTTAATTTTATCCAAAAATATTCATAGATCAAAAGCTCTTGTTTTCTCAAAGGCGATGTCTACGTCCATACCACTTGGAAAGCACTGGTTCTCGTCTGATCACCAAAGTTAAAACAAGTCGGGCGAAGTTAGTACTTGGGTGGGTGACCTCTTAGGAATACTTCGTGTCGTAGGCTCCTTTTGATTTATTAATAGAAAATTATTTCAATGTACTCATCAATTTTCCCAAAAAATATTTTTTTAATTTTATCCAAAATATTCAAGATCAAAAGCTCTTGTTTTCTCAAAGGCGATGTCTACGTCCATACCACTTGGAAAGCACTGGTTCTCGTCTGATCACCAAAGTTAAAACAAGTCGGGCGAAGTTAGTACTTGGGTGGGTGACCTCTTAGGAATACTTCGTGTCGTAGGCTCCTTTTGATTTATTAATAGAAAATTATTTCAATGTACTCATCAATTTTCCCAAAAGGAATATTTTTTTAATTTTATCCAAAAATTTCATAGATCAAAAGCTCTTGTTTTCTCAAAGGCGATGTCTACGTCCATACCACTTGGAAAGCACTGGTTCTAGTCTGATCACCAAAGTTAAAACAAGTCGGGCGAAGTTAGTACTTGGGTGGGTGACCTCTTAGGAATATTTCATGTCGTAGGCTCCTTTTGATTTATTTCAATAGAAAATTATTTTAATGTAATTCATCAATTTTCCCAAAAGGAATATTTTTTTTAATTTATCCAAAATATTCAGATCAAAAGCTCTTGTTTTCTCAAAGGCGATGTCTACGTCCATACCACTTGGAAAGCACTGGTTCTCGTCTGATCACCAAAGTTAAAACAAGTCGGGCGAAGTTAGTACTTGGGTGGGTGACCTCTTAGGAATACTTCGTGTCGTAGGCTCCTTTTGATTTATTAATAGAAAATTATTTCAATGTACTCATCAATTTTCCCAAAAGGAATATTTTTTTTAATTTTATCCAAAAATATTCATAGATCAAAAGCTCTTGTTTTCTCAAAGGCGATGTCTACGTCCATACCACTTGGAAAGCACTGGTTCTCGTCTGATCACCAAAGTTAAAACAAGTCGGGCGAAGTTAGTACTTGGGTGGGTGACCTCTTAGGAATACTTCGTGTCGTAGGCTCCTTTTGATTTATTAATAGAAAATTATTTCAATGTACTCATCAATTTTCCCAAAAGGAATATTTTTTTTAATTTTATCCAAAAATATTCATAGATCAAAAGCTCTTGTTTTCTGAAAGGCGATGTCTACGTCCATACCACTTGGAAAGCACTGGTTCTCGTCTGATCACCAAAGTTAAAACAAGTCGGGCGAAGTTAGTACTTGGGTGGGTGACCTCTTAGGAATACTTCGTGTCGTAGGCTCCTTTTGATTTATTAATAGAAAATTATTTCAATGTACTTCATCAATTTTCCCAAAAGGAATATTTTTTTTAATTTTATCCAAAAATATTCATAGATCAAAAGCTCTTTTTTCTCAAAGGCGATGTCTACGTCCATACCACTTGGAAAGCACTGGTTCTCGTCTGATCACCAAAGTTAAAACAAGTCGGGCGGTCAGGGGTTAGTACTTGTGGGTGACCTCTTAGGAATACTTCGTGTCGTAGGCTCCTTTTGATTTATTAATAGAAAATTATTTCAATGTACTCATCAATTTTCCCAAAAGGAATATTTTTTTAATTTTATCCAAAAATATTCATAGATCAAAAGCTCTTGTTTTCTCAAAGGCGATGTCTACGTCCATACCACTTGGAAAGCACTGGTTCTCGTCTGATCACCAAAGTTAAAACAAGTCGGGCGAAGTTAGTACTTGGGTGGGTGACCTCTTAGGAATACTTCGTGTCGTAGGCTCCTTTTGATTTATTAATAGAAAATTATTTCAATGTACTCATCAATTTTCCCAAAAGGAATATTTTTTTAATTTATCCAAAAATTTCATAGATCAAAAGCTTTGTTTTCTCAAAGGCGATGTCTACGTCCATACCACTTGGAAAGCACTGTTCTCGTCTGATCACCAAAGTTAAAACAAGTCGGGCGAAGTTAGTACTTGGGTGGGTGACCTCTTAGGAATACTTCGTGTCGTAGGCTCCTTTTGATTTATTAAGAAAATTATTTAAGTACTTCATTAATTTTCCCAAAAGGAATATTTTTTTTTATTTTATCCAAAAATATTCATAGATCAAAAGTTCTTGTTTTCTCAAAGGCGATGTCTACGTCCATATCACTTGGAAAGCACTGGTTCTCGTCTGATCACCAAAGTCAAAACAAGTCGGGCGAAGTTAGTACTTGGGTGGGTGACATCTTAGGAATACTTCGTGTAGTAGGCTCCTTTTGATTTATCAATAAAAAATTTTTCAATGCACTTGATCAATTTTCCCAAAAGGAATATTTTTTTTATTTTATCCAAAAATATTCATAGATCAAAAGCTTTTGTTTTCTCAAAGGCGACGTCTACGTCCATACCACTTGGAAAGCACTGGTTCTCGTCTGATCACCAAAGTTAAAACAAGTCGGGCGAAGTTAGTACTTGGGTGGGTGACCTCTTAGGAATACTTCGTGTCGTAGGCTCATTTTGATTTATTCATAGAAAATTATTTCAATGTACTTCACCAATTTTCCCAAAAGGAATATTTTTTTTTATTTTATCCAAAATATTTATAGATCAAAATCTTTTGTTTTCTCAAAGGCGATGTCTACGTCCATACCACTTGGAAAGCACTGGTTCTCGTCTGATCACCAAAGTCAAAACAAGTCGGGCGAAGTTAGTACTTGGGTGGGTGACCTCTTAGGAATACTTCGTGTCGTAGGCTCCTTTTGATTTATTAATAGAAAATTTTCAATGTACTTATCAATTTTCCCAAAAGAATATTTTTTTTATTTATCCAAAAATATTCATAGATCAAAAGCTTTGTTTTCTCAAAGGCGATGTCTACGTCCATACCACTTGGAAAGCACTGGTTCTCGTCTGATCACCAAGTTAAAACAAGTCGGGCGAAGTTAGTACTTGGTGGGTGACCTCTTAGGAATACTTCGTGTCGTAGGCTCCTTTTGATTTATTATAGAAAATTATTTCAATGTACTCACAATTTTCCCAAAAGGAATATTTTTTTTATTTTATCCAAAAATATTCATAGATCAAAAGCTTTTGTTTTCTCAAAGGCGACGTCTACGTCCATACCTCTTGGAAAGCACTGGTTCTCGTCTGATCACCACAGTTAAAACAAGTCGGGGCCGAAGTTAGTACTTGGATGGGTGACCTCTTGGGAATACTTCGTGTCGTAGGCTCCTTTTGATTTATTCATAGAAAATTATTTCAATGTACTCATCAATTTTCCCAAACGGAATATTTTTTTAAGTTTTATCCAAAAATATTCATAGATCAAAAGCTCTTCTTATCTCAAAGGCGATGTCTACGTCCATACCACTTGGAAAGCACTGGTTCTCGTCTGATCACCAAAGTTAAAACAAGTCGGGCGAAGTTAGTACTTGGGTGGGTGACCTCTTAGGAATACTTCGTGTCGTAGGCTCCTTTTGATTTATTAATAGAAAATTATTTCAATGTACTTCATCAATTTTCCCAAAAGGAATATTTTTTTTTAATTTTATCCAAAAATATTCATCGATAAAAACCTCTTGTTTTCTCAAAGGTGACGTCTACGTCCATACCACTTGGAAAGCACTGGTTCTCGTCTGATCACCAAAGTCAAAACAAGTCGGGCGAAGTTAGTACTTGGGTGGGTGACATCTTAGGAATACTTCGTGTTGTAGGCTCCTTTTGATTTATTAATAGAAAATTTTTCAATGCACTTGATCATTTTACCCAAAAGGAATATTTTTTTTATTTTATCCAAAAATATTAATAGATCAGAAGCTTTTGTTTTCTCAAAGGCGACGTCTACGTCCATACCACTTGGAAAGCACTGGTTCTCGTCTGATCACCACAGTTAAAACAAGTCGGGTGAAGTTAGTACTTGGATGGGTGACCTCTTAGGAATACTTCGTGTCGTGGGCTCATTTTGATTTATTCATAGAAAATTACTTCAATGTACTTCACCAAATTTCCCAAAAGGAATATTTTTTTTTATTTATCCAAAAATATTCATAGATCAAAAGCTTTTGTTTCTCAAGGCGACGTCTACGTCCATACCTCTTGGAAAGCACTGGTTCTCGTCTGATCACCACAGTTAAAACAAGTCGGGCGAATTTAGTACTTGGATGGGTGACCTCTTGGGAATACTTCGCATCGTAGCCTCCTTTTGATTTATTCATAGAAAATTATTTCAATGTACTCATCAATTTTCCCAAAAGGAATATTTTTTTAAGTTTTATCCAAAAATATTCGTAGATGAAAAGCTCTTCTTATCTCAAAGGCGATGTCTACGTCCATACCACTTGGAAAGCACTGGTTCTCGTCTGATCACCAAAGTTAAAACAAGTCGGGCGAAGTTAGTACTTGGGTGGGTGACCTCTTAGGAATACTTCGTGTCGTAGGCTCCTTTTGATTTATTAATAGAAAATTATTTCAATGTACTTCATCAATTTTCTCAAAAGGAATATTTTTTTTTAATTTTATCCAAAAATATTCATCGATCAAAAGCTCTTGTTTTCTCAAAGGCGACGTCTTCGTCCATACCACTTGGAAAGCACTGGTTCTCGTCTGATCACCACAGTTAAAACAAGTCGGGCGAAGTTAGTACTTGGATGGGTGACCTCTTAGGAATACTTCGTGTCGTAGGCTCCTTTTGATTTATTAATAGAAAATTATTTCAATGTACTTCATCAATTTTCCCAAAAGGAATATTTTTTTTAATTTTATCCAAAATTATTCATAGATCAAAAGCTCTTGTTTTCTCCTAGGCGATGTCTACGTCCATACCACTTGGAAAGCACTGGCTCTCGTCTGATCACCAAAGTTAAAACAAGTCGGGCGAAGTTAGTACCTGGGTGGGTGACCTCTTAGGAATACCTTTTGTCGTAGGCTCCTTTTGATTTATCAATAGAAAATTATTTCAATGTACTTCATCAATTTTCCCAAAAGGAATATTTTTTTTAACTTTATTCAAAAATATTCATAGATCAAAAGCTCTTGTTTTCTGAAAGGCGATGTCTACGTCCATACCACTTGGAAAGCACTGGTTCTCGTCTGATCACCAAAGTTAAAACAAGTCGGGCGAAGTTAGTACTTGGGTGGGTGACCTCTTGGGAATACTTCGTGTCGTAGGCTCCTTTTGATTTATTCGTAGAAAATTATTTCAATGTACTGATCAATTTTCCCAAAAGGAATATTTTTTTTAACTTTATTCAAAAATATTCATAGATCAAAAGCTCTAGTTTTCGGAAAGGCGATGTCTACGTCCATACCACTTGGAAAGCACTGGTTCTCATCTGATCACCAAAGTTAAAACAAGTCGGGCGAAGTTAGTACTTGGGTGGGTGACATCTTAGGAATACTTCGTGTTGTAGGCTCCTTTTTATTTATTAATAGAAAATTTTTTCAATGCGCTTCATCAATTTTCCCAAAAGGAATATTTTTTTTAATTTTATCCAAAAATATTCATATATCAAAAGCTCTTGTTTTCTCCTAGGCGATGTCTACGTCCATACCACTTGGAAAGCACTGGCTCTCGTCTGATCACCAAAGTTAAAACAAGTCGGGCGAAGTTAGTACCTGGGTGGGTGACCTCTTAGGAATACTTCGTGTCGTAGGCTCCTTTTGATTTATTAATAGAAAATTATTTCAATATACTGTTCAATTTTCCCAAAAGGAATATTTTTTTTAATTTTTTCCAAAAATATTCACAGATCAAAACCTCTTGTTTTCTCAAAGGCGATGTCTACGTCCATACCACTTGGAAAGCACTGGTTCTCGTCTGATCACCAAAGTTAAAACAATTCGGGCGAAGTTAGTACTTGGGTGGGTGACCTCTTAGGAATACCTTGTGTCGTAGGCTCCTTTTGATTTATCAATAGAAAATTATTTCAATGTACTTCATCATTTTTCCCAAAAGGAATACTTTTTTTAACTTTATTCAAAAATATTCATAGATGAAAAGCTCTTGTTTTCTGAAAGGCGATGTCTACGTCCATACCACTTGGAAAGCACTGGTTCTCGTCTGATCACCAAAGTTAAAACAAGTCGGGCGAAGTTAGTACTTGGGTGGGTGACGTCTTAGGAATACTTCGTGTTGTAGCCTCCTTTTGATTTTTTAGTAACATATTATTTCAATGTACTTTATCAATTTTCCCAAAAGGAATATTTTTTTTTAATTTTATCCAAATTTATTCATAGATCAAAAGCTCTTGTTTTCTCAAAGCGATGTCTACGTCCATACCACTTGGAAAGCACTGGTTCTCGTCTGATCAGCACAGTTAAAACAAGTCGGGCGAAGTTAGTACTTGGATGGGTGACCTCTTGGGAATACTTCGTGTTGTCGGCTCCTTTTGATTTATTAATAGAAAATTATTTCAATGTACTTCATCAATTTTCCCAAAAGGAATATTTTTTAAGATTTATCCAAAAATATTCATAGATAAAAAGCTTTTGTTTTCTCAAAGGCGACGTCTACCTCCATACCACTTGGAAAGCACTGTTTCTCGTCTGATCACCACAGTTAAAACAAGTCGGGCGAAGTTAGTACTTGGATGTGTGACTTCTTGGGAGTACTTCGTGTCGTAGGCTCCTTTTGATTTATTCATAAAAGATTATTTCAATGTACTCATCAATTTACCCAAAAGGAAGATTTTTTTAAGTTTTATCAAAAAATATTCATAGATGAAAAGTTTTTGTTTTCTCAAAGGCGACGTCTACGTCCATACCACTTGGAAAGCACTGGTTCTCGTCTGATCACCACAGTTAAAACAAGTCGGGCGAAGTTAGTACTTGGATGGGTGACCTTTCGGGAATACTTTGTGTCGTAGGCTCCTTTTGATTTATTCATAGAAAATTATTTCAATTTACTCATCAATTTTCCCAAAAGGAATATTTTTTTAAAGTTTTATCCAAAAATATTCATGGATCAAAAGCTCTTCTTTTCTCAAAGGCGATGTCTACGTCCATGCCACTTGGAAAGCACTGCTTCTCGTCTGATCACCAAAGTTAAAACAAGTCGGGCGAAGTTAGTACTTGGGTGGGTGACATCTTAGGAATACTTCGTGTTGTAGGCTCCTTTTGATTTATTAATAGAAAATTTTTTCAATTCACTTCATCAATTTTCCCAAAAGGAATATTTTTTTTATTTTATCCAAAAATATTCATAGATCTAGAGCTTTTGTAAAAAAAAAAAAAACTGGTTCTCGTCTGATCACCACAGTTAAAACAAGTCGGGCGAAGTTAGTACTTGGATGGGTGAGCTCTTGGGAATACTTCGTGTCGTAGGCTCATTTTGATTTATTCATAGAAAATTATTTCAATGTACTTCACCAATTTTCCCAAAAGGAATATTTTTTTTTATCCAAAAATATTCATAGATCAAAAGCTTTTGTTTTCTCAAAGGCGACGTCTACGTCCATACCTCTTGGAAAGCACTGGTTCTCGTCTGATCACCACAGTTAAAACAAGTCGGGCGAAGTTAGTACTAGGGTGGGGGACCTCTTAGGAATACTTCGTGTCGTAGGCTTTTTTTGGTTAATTTATAGAAAATTATTACAATGTAATCATCAATTTTCCCAAAAGAAATATTTTTTTTAATAATTCCAAAAGTATTCATGGATCAAAAGCTGTTGTTTTCTCGAAGGCGATGTCTACGTCCATACCACTTGGAAAGCACTGGTTCTCGTCTGATCACTAAAGTTAAAACAAGTCGGGCGAAGTTAGTACTTGAGTGGGTGACCTCTTACGAATACTTCATGTCGTAGGCTCCTTTTGATTTATTAATAGAAAATTATTTCAATGTATTTCATCAATTTTCCCAAAAGGAACATTTTTTTTAATTTTATCCAAAAATATTCATCGATCAAAAGCTCTTGTTTTCTCAAAGGCGACGTCTACGTCCATACCACTTGGAAAGCACTGGTTCTCGTCTGATCACCACAGTTAAAACAAGTCGGGCGAAGTTAGTACTTGGATGGGTGAAATCTTAGGAATACTTCGAGTCGTAGGCTCCTTTTGATATATTAATAGAAAATTATTCCAATGTACTCATCAATTTTCCTAAAAGAAATATTTTTTTTAATTTTATCCAAAAATATTGATGGTTCAAAAGCTCTATTTCTCTCAAAGGCGATGTCTACGTCCATACCACTTGGAAAGCACTGGTTCTCGTCTGATCACCAAAGTTAAAACAATT